TGGGGAGAGTGTGGCCCTCGCTGTCCCTTATGCCCCCGTTTGGGGAGAGTGTGGCCCTCGCTGTCCCTTATGCCCCCGTTCCTTCCTTTGTTCTGCCCTCGGTCTTTTTTGCGGAAGCAAAGCCATGTGATGTTGTTTGTCCATGTGCCGCTTCCAGAAAGGGATGGAACCCTGGCTTGGTTCCTGCCTCTGAGGCGCCGCAGGCTCGTGGCCGCCCCGCGCCCAGTGTGGGGGCGGAACTCAGGCCCGTCGCTGGCCCTCTGGCGCACAGGGTGGGCCTTCCTCGCCTTATCTATTTTTAAAGTGCAGTTAGCACTTGAGAAGGGGGCTTGCCTGGGACCACCAGCTCTGCTCGCAGAGCCCACGCCCTCATTGGGGCTGCCTGGCACGAAGGCGGTGCTGCTGAGTGGAGCTGGGTTTGAACCAAGTGCTCAGAGCGACAGGACTCCGCCCTTAAACCATAGACGTTCTCACATGGTGTTTTTGTGGTTTCCTCCACCAGAAATGCATGCCCTAATTGCTAAAAAGGATGCCCTTTTAAAATAGCACTCGACTGGAGCGAGCTCTCACTCGTGGAAGGGTTCCATGTCCCTTGAAACCCGGGTATGAGGCGCAGCGCTCACAGAGCAGGGATGGGATCGTGCCGGCGCAGCCGACCGCCCATGCGCCCGGCGCCCGGCTCTTCCCCGTCTCCAACCCCCACCCAGGCCCCGTTCTGCACCCTCGTCCCAGAATCTTGCCTACTTCAAACTCTTGGGAGTTCTTCAGCAAATCCTTATCTCCAGAAAGAAGTAATTACAGCAGGAGCTGCCTTTTGGTTCTGGACTCGTGGGTTCCTGTGTGCATCGTTGTTTAGCCACGAGGATGGCGGTGCTCAGCCGTTTCCGCGTCCCTGGGGATGGGGTGTTGCAGGAAGTTTGGGGGAGTCTTCTTGTCCAGAGGTGGTTGGAAGACGAAGCAAATGCCCCCTTGGGGCCTCCTCTAATGTTTGGATCATGGAGCTGCTTCTCGAGGGAGCCTGGCTTCTGCTTTCAGATTATTTCTTACATGGGAAGAGCAAGATGGAATTATTTTTGTATGGATTTACTCCAGTGAATGCTGGCTGAGTTTAGGGGTTGATGAGCAAGCCGAAATGTTGGTTGATTCAGAGAGAAAAGAAAATTTCTAAATGCCGTCCTCAGCTTTTAGCCTCTGATTCAGGTTGTGAGTGAGCAGTTTGGACTCTTCTGTCCTTACATTATAATATATTGTCTCAGTTTGGTTGGGAAGCTCTCATCTGATTATTATTTAGGGCATTTACATTTAGTTCAGAATAGTAAAATCTACATATTCCTTTTCAGAAATATTACCAAACTATTATAATTTCCAGCCAAAAGTAGAAAACGTTTTTTGACTCATTGTGGAATCACATGATAAAAATAAACTGATGACTAAGAAACTTAAGCTCTTAAGAAATCTGGATTTGTAAAGAGATGGTCCAAAAGGGAGAAACAAGAAAAGTAGGGCCCCGGAAGCTTTGTGAGAAGGCCACACAGGGGGCTGTTTTACATCCAGGGGACTCGTCCCAGGCAGTTAACCCTGTGTCCTGATGCCTGGAGACCACATAACATTTCACGAGGTGGTAACAGCAACAGCTGGGGATAACCAGGGCCCTCGGCAAGCACCGAAACACTGCAAGCAGACGAACGGGGGAATCAGGTCCTTTCTATCCACTGGTGAAACTCAGTTTGCAAATGCATGTCCTTCCTCACGTCCCAGACAGGCAGCCGGGAGGAAGGGGTGTCTCCCACTCAGCTTCTGGGAGGCTGGCAATGCCGCGCTTATGGGAGAGGGGTGTCGGGGGATGGCTGCGTTGTGCTCCTTTAAGCAGTTTGGGGGTGTGTATGAGAACCCGTCACCACCAGGTGGCTTCCACCCGTGTCTGAGCGAGTGCATCTTGCAGGAGGCTCTGTTACCCTCTCTGTCCTTTGAGACCCCTTTCCACGATGAAGTGCTTGTGTGTCTCCTGCTTCGGTGCTGTTAAATGTCCAGCACTCTCAGGCTATCATGAAGCTTCTATCTTTAGCATAAGTGTTGGTTTGTATTTCAATGTCACAGTCAAAGTTGAAACAACCAACAATGAAGTTCAAGTTCTAGTTCACGAGATGGCTTTTGCTAAGAAGTATCACCTAGATTTTTTTTTTTTTTT